TCTGGCAATTAAGAAGCCTCAATTGCTCAGTGGGCCTAGAGAGTTAGCACTTCAGAGTTGAATAAAAGTGTGAAGGCCTTCAGGAAATAAAAAATAACTGATCTACTTCAGCATATGGAAAACATTATTCATGGGCATGTGGAAGAAATGTTGGAACATATGGAATCAATTAACAATTGGAGCACAGCAAGCCAGGAAAATAAAGAAATGAGGTAATTATTAAATCTATGAGAATAAAGAACTATATAAGAAGGGAAAAGATGATTATAGCTTGTCTTTTTCTCAACATTTTAACATTATTTCCATAATCAAAATAGTATAATTGTGATAACTGCTTTAGCCAAAATGTGAGATTACACTGGCATGGGAGGCAGCATTGGAGGGGGAATAAGAGGTGGATGTGAGAGCTATGTCCTCTTACACATGTAACAAGAAGTTAGTACATTATGTCAGAAATCAATAAACTATAAAGTGCAAAATAGGTAAAAAGCTAGAAAAGCTGACGTTTTCTCCAAGGAGAGAACTAGGATATGAACAGGGAAAAGAACAGGTATTTTTTTGTTAAAAACCTTTAATAGCATTTGACTTTTTTTTTTTAAAGATATGTATGATTATTACATTAGTAAAAATAAGATATTTAAATTGTCACTTTGTAATACAACAGTTCATTATAAAAATGAAAACATTTTAGAATTAGTTTTTAGTTTCTTTAGGATTTGGTCAAAAGTTATTTAATACACTCCTACCAAAATGTCAACATCTTGGTTTTGGACTTCCAGCCTACAGAACTGTGAGAAATAGATTTTGTTGTTTAAGTTACCATGTCTATGGAATTTTGTTTTGATAGCTCTGGCAGACCAGTATGCTCAGCAGTAAAAAGGAAAGAAACAAACACAATATGTCAATATGGATACCTGTAAAAAACATTGTGGTGAATGAAATATGCCTTGAATAAAAAAAGCATATACTTCCATTTACATGGCATTGTAGAATAGGCAAAACTAATCATTTTTTGAAAAAGATGAGTACAGCTATTGCCTCTGTTGCAAGGAGTTTGGAATGCTGACTAACTTCAAGGTCCATGAAAAGATTCTGAGGTGATGATATTGTTCTTTTTCCTGATAGTGATTTGTTTTACAGACATTTGTCAAAATTCATCAAATGGTACGCTTGACATTTGTGCATTTTTTTGTGTGTATTAACTCTTCATCAAAAGAAAATGAAAGAAGTTTAAAACAAGTCAGGTATAGTAGCACTTGCCTGTAGTCCCAGTCCCTCCTGAGATAGGAGTTGAGTCCAGCCCAGGCAACACAGTGAGAACTCGGGAAGGGAAGGAAAGGGGAGGGGAGGGGAGGGAAGGGAAAGGAATGGAAAGGAAGGAGAGGATAAAGGACAAGATGCAACAAGAGAAATGAAAAGAAAACAAAGTGCTCAAAAAACAGAACAAAAATCTAAAGCACTTTAAAACAAACATTGAACTTTAGTTAATACTACATATGTTGAAGTACTGGGGGGATATAATTTTTCTTTTACTTATTTTTAGCAGTTCATGTTTGCAGTACATAATCATCACATTCATCATGGGTAGTTGTTACATGTACATAACACATCTTAATTCTTTTTATTTCCCCTTCTCTCAGAATTACTTCAAAATGTGTGGGGGAAAAAATGTGACTGACTTGTAGAAGTGTACCTGAACAGACTTCAAAAAATTTTGGACTTTGAAGTTGAGGGCAAGGGTATGAAGAAAGTGAGGAAAATCTCACTGACAACAGGAAGAAAAGGAATCTTTGCTATGTAGTGGTAAAAAATTTAGCAATGCTGTTTTCTGTAGTTATATGGAAAATAGAAAATATGTTTAATGAGATGGATAATTTAGGTAAAGAGATTTCCACATAGTGTTGAAGCAGCCATCTGATTTTTTCCTGGGGCTTATAGTAAAATGCAAAAGAAGGGAGCTGAATTGTAGGGATTGTTAAGATGAAGTTAAGAATGTGACTTTATAGTCACCATTTGTTAAAACCTCAGAAATGACAAAAGTAGAGCCTCAGAGTGCACTAGTGCTGTTATCTATGAGGGATGTGTCCCAAGACCCCCAGTGGATGCTGGAAGCATGGATGGTACCAAGCCCTACGTATATTATGTTTTTTCCTATACATACCCATGATAAAGTTTAATTTATAAATTAGACACAATAAGATGTTAATAACTAATAATAAATAAAATAATTATAATAATATAGTACAATAAAAGTTTATACATGTACTCTCAAAATATCCTAGTGTACTATAGTCATCCTTAAGACAGTACGATTTCACAATGTAACATAGAATGACACACAGTTTAAAACTTATGAATTATTTATTTCTGGAATTTTTCATATAGTAGTTTTAAACCATAGAAAATAAAACTGTAAATGGTATATGGGGGCTACTGTATTACTCAGTCACACAGAGCTCTTTGAAGAAATTAAGGGTGTGCCTCACATATTTTCTGAAACAATATGCCTCTGGGAAGCTTAAGGGGTTTTTTCTACCAGTTGTCTCAGCAGGGGCTCAAAGTAGAAAAAGGTTTATATGAAAAAAATTTGCAGATTTGATTTCTGCCTAACCGAGTAAACTCCCAGAAGAATCACATGTGACCCACACAGTTTCTAAAGAATTTTATATGTAGGGATATCACTAGTTTGAACAGAGAGTTCAGAGAACAAAATGAAGAGCTCTTTGGAATCTCAGAATTTTACCAAGAAACAAGTTGAAAGACCTGCTCAATTGCAAATACCTGCTACTTTTCATTAACAAAAAGGGCAGAACAAAGTGCTCAAAGAACAGAGCCAAGAGACATGGAGAATTATTCCTGGGCTTTGAGATTTAATCAACAAACTCCTAACATTTGCCCTGCTGGTCCAATGACTTCTGCAGTCCCCTATTTCTCCTCTCTTTCAACAGAAGTGCTAATAGTGGTTATCTTATACTTGTCTCACCACTGTGTGTTGGGCATATGGAAGAGCAAACTTGTCTCTAGTTTTATGGTTGAGAAGAAATGTATTAAAAGACCTTGGCTTAGGGAACTAAATCCTAGAAACCTGAACTGTACTTAGATTTGATTCTGCTGGTGAGATTCTGAAGTTGAGCTTATGCTGTAATGGCACAAGACTTTTGCAAGCCTTGGATGGGTGAACATATTCTCCATTTTGGAGAACTATATATCATTAGGTACCAGAGGGAAGACTGTGGGAGCCAGAACCCACGATAATTTCCAACTTAATTATCTCTGTCTCTTTGTATCCATTGCCCTTTGAATGAGGACTAGATTTCCTGACTGGTTCCTAACAGAAAATGGCAGGAGTGATGAGATGTCAGTTCTGAGAACAGGTTATAAAAAGACTATGGTTTCTATCTTGAGGACTCTTGCTTGCTCCCTCTTGGATCAGTTGGATGAGGGAAACCAGCTGCAATGTTGTGATGCAACAATGTGGACAGGCTCACAAAGAAGAACTGAGGCTTGTCAACCACCACACATGTGAGCTCCAAGATGGACTTTTCCCAGCTAGCCCCTGCCCCCACGTGGAATTTGACTGGTTGCCGATGAAAGATGTAATTCTAGATGTACTGACCTAAACCATGCCTGTGTGATAACAGAAACAGTGAGATAATGCATTTTGTCTGCTTTAAGCTACTACATTTTGGGCAATTTGTTAAGCAACAATAGATTGATATAAAGAAGAACAGAACTGAAACACTACCATGAAAAAGAAAGGTGAATGAAGAGCATAGAAAGACACAATTCCGTTTTCTCTTGACAAGAATCAAGCATGATCTTGGAAATAAAAAGTGAAAGAAATATGAAATGAGCAATGCTCAAGTAAAGATATAAAAAGAAAATATAATAGTAGAGAAAGGTGAGTAAGGAAGAGAAGGGAAAGGTACTTGTGCTGGAGATTTCTTTATGATCTAGGGAAACAAACAAAAGTCTAGGTGGAGGAAAAAGAAGTCCACTGTGGCCTCTGAGGGGGAGAGGATAGGTCATGGAACCACTGAAAAACTCCTGACATCATTCAGGCTTCCGTGAAGAGTCACAAAATCCCTCGTAAGGTTTTATATTCTGGGAACCATAACTACAAAGTCACTGGGGCTGGCTCTGAAATGACTGATGCTGAGGAGGGAAGAGGGTGATGCAATCTCTAGGAGTAGGGGAATTCATCATTTACTTTGGAAGGACTATGGGGGTGGAGGGGGGTAGAAATTTTACACTCACATTATTAAGCAGGTCAAGGATGCTTATTTAGATGTGAAATGGTTGCTAGAGATGATGTAGTTGTATGGATTAAAAAAAAACTTAGAAAGTTATAAATCTGCTGCTTGAAATACTGAACAGATTGGAGGTATAGACTCAGTAACACAAACCTGAGGCTCAGTTAGGGAAAAGGAGGGAACACTTGATGGTAAAAAGCTACAAATGGATGTGAGGGAATTTCAGAGGTCAGTAAAAAGACTTAAAAGCCAATAAAAAGTTAGGTTCAGGAAGGAAAGCTTATTCCAAATGGCCACTTGTAATAAGACACGGCAGCAAATCCTCGGTAAGAAGGCATATTACAACCATACACCAGGTAGAAATAAGGCCCTGGAAACCAGCTGGAAGCATAGCTTGGTAGTGTAGTCATAAGATTTTGTGTAGGAAGATGTTTTATATATGTCTGCTATCTGTCTCCTTTAAGGAACTGTACCCAAAATAATAAGCTTGGCTCTTCAGTGAAAATGTGACATAAGAATCTAAATATCATTCTTATAAATTATATTTATATAGTTAAAAAAACAAAAAATTAAAAGGATATACTTTGCTGGTTCATAATCAAGAAACCATGGCTTTTTCAAAGGCAGAAAAGGCAAAAGCTTCCCATCAATCATAGCAACAACTGATACTGGGGCATAGGAAATGTTGGAGAGTGGCAGAAGCTTATTTCAGAATCCAAGAACCACATCTCTCCCAGTGAATTCTACCTGTTTGGGTTCTTTTGATGATGCAGGAACTGCAGCTGTCTCCTTCTGAGTCATTTTTGTTTCTCCTACTCCTTCACCATCTGATGATTCTAGGAAACAAAATGTTTGAAAATTTAAAAAGTGTCTTTCTCTTTCATACCTTGGTACAACTTGTACTACCTTTCTAGAAGGTTCTGTGTCTTAACTTTGTACTTCTTCCTCTCAGAAGTTGAATTTAAGGAAACGATCTAAAATGGAGGCAGAGATTTAAGCCCTAGGGATGGCAGTCTTATTCATAAATGGGAAGATTGAAGATTACCTAGATGTCTAATATTATTGAATGCTTAATTATGAATACTCACACAACAGGACTCTTTGTAGCCTTTAAAAATGTTTGCTAAGAGGTTACAATGACAAAGCCCATCTTTTTAAAAAAAAATTCGTAAGTTCTTTTATTGGTACACTTTAGGTATACAGTATGTTTACATTTATCTTTGGGTGCTTGTCCCTGTACATGATATATCTTGGTTCTTATTTTTTCCCCATTACCTGTGCACCCTTCCCTATTTACATAGACTTCATTTCCATTTTTTCTTTTCTCATAGTTTTTTCCTTTCCCTGCTTTCCTTTCCCCTTCCCCTCCCACCACTCCTACCCCTTTGGACCTTTCTTCCTATTTCAAATTATCAGTTATTCATTTTAATCATTTTAACCCTTATTTACACTTTCAGTTTCTCACACTAGAGAAACTATTCAGTATTTACACATGTGTGTCCTATTTATTTCACTTAAGAGTATGGCCTCGGTATGCATCCATTTAGCTAAAAATGACTCTAGTTTCTCATTCTTTATGGCTGAATAGTACTCCATTTTATAAAAAAAAAACCCACATCTTCTTTATCTAGTTTCCAGTTGATGGGCACTTGGGCTGCTTCCAAGCTTTAGCTATTACAAACTGTGCCACTATAAACATGGGTGCATATATCGCTGTGGTATGATTCTTTAAATTATTTTGGGAAGATACCCAGCAGGGGAATAGCTGGGTCAAATGGGACCTCTAGTCCTACTTCTTTGAGGTGTCTCTATACTGATTTCCCCAGTGGTTGCACCAGCCTGCACTCCCACCAACAATGGAGAAGGGTTCCTTTCTCCCCACAACCCCGCCAACATTTGTTATTGGTTGATTTCTTGATAGCAGCTGTTCTTTCCGCGGTGAGGTGGAATCTCAGTGTTGTTTTCATCTGCATCTCTCAAATGACCAGTGATGTTGAACATTTTTTCATATATTTATTTGCTGCTTTTACTTCTTTGACTGAGAAGTATCTGTTCATTTCAGATGCCCATTTTTGAATTGGGTCTTTGAATTTGGGGGATCTGATTTGTTTTAGTTCTTTATATATTCTAGAGAGCAGTCTTTTGTCTAAGGTACAGCTGCTAAAATTTTTTTCCCACATTGTAGGCTGTTAGCTCTGTTGGTGGTTTCTTTTGCAGTGCAGAAGCTTTTTAATAAGATGAGATCCCAGTTGTTGATTCTTTGTGCTAGTTCCCATGCTACTGAGGTTTTGTTCATAGTCTTTTCCTATGCCAATGTCTTCAAGAGTTCTACCTAACTTATCTTCCAGCAAGTTTAGTGTTTTTGTTTTAATATTTAGATCTTTAATCCACTTTGATCTTAGTTTAGTGCATGGTGATAGGTATGGGTCTAGTTTTAATCTTTTAAAGGCTATCTTCTTAAAAAATTACATTTTATTAGGCATGTTAATATTACATAATGGTGTGGTTTGGGGAGTTGGTACATGCATTTAATATACCTTAATTCATTTAAATCTCATTGTTTCCGTGTCCCTTTCCTTCTCCCTCCTGATGATCCTTGTTATAGTTTATATCTAGATGTGTCCCCAAAGCCTCATGGGGTTTTTCAGAGGTGGTTGAATTTAGGGTGTATGAATGTGGATTAAGGGTGTGATACTGAGATTGAGGGTGTGATAATGGAAGCCCTACCCTGGGTGTGGGTGGCACTAATCAACAGGCTTGTAGCCTGGATAAAATATAAAGGGACAGAAAGAAGACAAACTGCTGCTGTTGCTTGCTGCATGCTGCTGCCTCCTGCCTGTCACACTACGAACTGTTTCTCTTTTGTGATTCTCCTCTACCAGGCCACCCTGCCTTGGAGCCAGCCGACGACTGTCTGAAACCTCTACAAGCAGTGAGCTGAAATAAACATTTCCTCCTTTAACTTGTGTGTGTGTCAGGTATTTTGCCTAAGTAAAGAGAAAAGTAACTAAGACAATCCTCTTCCCCATCTCCAAAAGTCTACCTCTTAGCAACATCATCTGATAACGATAATATGTGATCAGAACTATCATTATTGAGCATTACTACATGTTTAACACTGAGCTTCACATATACTGTCTAATGTTTACAATATAACTACTGGGCTGGGGATTTAGCTCAGTGGTTCTGCCACCTGCCTTGTGAGCATGAGGTCCCGAGTTCGATCCCCGGTACCAAAAAAACGAAACCAAACATACAATATTACTACTAATTTTATATATATGAAATTCCTTTTTCAGTTAAGAATACTACTGTTTAGATAAGTGAAGTAATTTCCTCCAGGCCACACACTTGGGACCCAAGGTTTCTTGGAGTCCAAAGTATTCCCCAGCAATTGAAGCCTGCACCCAGCAGCCCATGACACCTATGTGCTGGCTCCAAGAAAAATGTTAAGATTGTGACAAAGGATTAGAGGTCAGGATAAATTCCAATTTTGGATCTTCTTCATCTTTCCACAATGGAAAAACACATTCTAACTATAAAAATCAGAAAAATTGAAGTTATAACTGTTTTCCTGTTTATAAATATATCCTGAAGAAACATGGCAACCAGAAGGTACTTACTTCCTACAATGCCATACTGTCTTCCAGGTTTTTGTGGTTGTTTCTTTAAAAAATATATTTGGTCTTTGAAAGGCTTTGGTCATTGTCTTTAAATTGCTTTGTATATCTCAAAGTGAGCTCACCATGTGAATTTGTGAATTCACAGGCCCAAATTAGCCAGTTTGCTGGGCCAGAGGTTTTAGATGATCACATGCTATAATAGTAAATTTTACGTGTCAACTTGACTGGGTCACAGAGTGCTCAGATATTTGGTTAAACATTATTCTGAATGTTTCTGTGAGGGTGATTCTGTAGAGATTAGTATTTAAATTGGTAGAATAAAATAAATAGACTACTATCCACAATCTGGGTGGGCCTCATTTAATCAGTTGAACAAAAAGCTTGACCCTTCCCTGAGTAAGAGAAAGTTATTCCTGTCTTTGGACTGGAAATTAAAACACTGGCTTTTCCTGTGAGGCTTGTGGGCCTTCAGGCTGGATCTAAACCATCAGCAATCTTGGGCTCTAGCTTGCCAATGGTTACAGTTTGGGTCTGTAATACCCCCCAAAGGCTCATGTGTTTAAAACTTGACTTAGCCGTCATTAAGTAAACAGCTCTGCTCCAGTATACGTTCGTCATGATGATGTGTAAAGACCCAGAAACAAGGGAGCCAAACAACCATGGACTGAAACTTCTGAAATCTAAATCAAAATAAACTTTTTTCCTTAAGATGATTTTCTTGGGAATTTTGTTACAGCAACGGACAGCTAACACACCAACTTACCTTGTGGTTCTCGGAACTTGAGAGCCTCCGTAATTGTATAAGCCAGTTTTTTTATAATCCCCCCCACCCCAAGGTAGAGAGAAGATGGAAGGCAAGCTAGGGCTGTTCAGGCCCAAAGAAAAACAGTGCTGAGCTCCTTAGGTTATCTTTTTGCTTCTTTGTCCCAGACTTGGAAATCAATTACCTGGAAGCACCAATGAAAGCAGACCAAACAGCTCCAAGAAAAGTCTGCTTTTTCTGTAAAAAAATCACCAGGAAAGGGGTGATTTAGAAAGACAAAACTTTTATACAATTACCACTTCACTCAAGCTAAAGCAGGAAAAACTGGGCCACAGCCCTATCTCTAAAGGTGGAGACTTCCCCACTTATCAGGCTTTAATGAAGCCCCCTAACTCTTCCTCCAACTCCCAAAAGGGTAGTGTGAGAGGTGATCAGGTAGGGTGCTGAGAATTTCATCTCGAGAGGGTGGGGTTCACCTTGCACCCCCAAATACTGCAGTATTAATGGAGGAAGCCTGAACTTATACCCTTTCATGGTCATTATAAAGTATATCTTTTCCACCCCCCTGGGATGGTGTCAGAAGATTAATGGAGATTTAGAACTTTCTATACTACCTCACAATAGTGAGGCCACACTAGGGGTTTTACCAGCCACAAAAAAGCTATAGAGACATACAATAAAATACAGTATGATGAATGAAAGTGAGACTCTAAAAATGTTCAAGTAACATGCAGGATTGTAAGAAAAAGAAAAAAGAGGAGTCACGTGGAAGACACCGAATCACCCCACTGCAGACAGGCAGCCACGTGATTCCACATTACAAAGGCGCAGAGGACACCAGACCACCAGACCAAGGTACTGAGTCCCACTGTTCCCGGCCCAGAGGTAGGGGCTTCCGAGCTGTCGTCCCACTGCTCCTAGTCCAGAGGAAGGGGCTTCCCGGTCACCATCCCTCCCGCTGCTCCCAGCCCAGAGGAAAGGGCTTTTGGGCAACCTTCTGTCCCGCTGCTCCTGGCCCAGAGGAAGGGGCTTCCCAGCCACCATCCCTCC